GGTGATTTGTTCTTCTTATTTTTTTTCAGCAACTCGGTAGACGTAGGATGTTATAATTACTTTACATACTATGCTGGAAACGGCAACCGATCCAAATCGCATATGGCTCGGTAACTTACCACCTCGGACCACCGAATACTTCATCCTAAAACTCGCCAGACAGTTCGGTGAACTTGCAGACTTTACTTTCCCCGTCCACAAAGTCGGCCCTCAACAAGGCGCAACAACAGGCTTCTGTTTTGTTACTTTCAAAACTCGAGAGGCTGCTCAGTTAGCTCTACGAAGGTGGGCTTCTCCATTTCGATTGGTCTGACGTTATAGTTATGAATGTAAAACATGTCTTTTTGATAACAGTAACCTCTTTACTGGCAATACTTGGGTTCTTAATGTGTCCAAGACCAAATGCTCAAATAGTGGACATCTAATGCTGTGCTCATAGAAACTGTCCTTATTTTTCTGTTAGTCGTCATCTTTCCAGTGTCGTACATTTCAATCCCCCTGTTCACGGAGACAATTAGTCTGTCCAGGTTGAAATCCTAAAAATCAATTCTTTTAGTCTTTCTTCGACACCTAATGCCGAATAGGCTTATTTTTGCTCCAAGTGTGTGTTCTTCTGACCACAAAACACCACAGGTCAAGCTTTCGCTTTTCGAATCCTCTGTTTAATTATTTTGGTAACGTTAATCTCTATTCCTGCCAAAATTCACTTTGCGTGGGCAAATGATGGATTTATGTCGCACTGGTCTCTCTCATTCCACTAGAAATCCTGCTCCATTCGTCACCTCCCCTCTTGGGTAGTGGGAATCATCAGTAATCCTTACCGACGGAATATCATTAATCCGACTGTTAACATCCAGGGTGATGACTACTATATACTTGTACTTGTTACGGTTGCGATCATGACTGATCTAGCTGGCTTCGCTGATGTCCCGAACGGTACTTATCCGCGCGTGATGATCCATGGCAACAGACCTGGATGGTTTAACACAATTTCTACACCGGTGCCGGGGACCGAATACCGAAGATCCAAGAACAATTTCCAGGTGCTGGCGGAAGAAGTCAAGCTAGATTTTGGGCTGACCTGCTCTTCGATGTCTCTAATTGAGTACCGGTGTCGGACCGAGGGCAGTAACGCTAAGCTCGTGAAATTGACGAAAAAAACGTGTTTTAGCCACTCCAGTCGTCTGTCTTGAATTGCCTGAAACATCCTTGCGCTGTTATCACAGCGAGTGCGGACTGTCCCATTTGAGACGAAGTTGGTGTACTTCACTCGAAGGATGCTCCTCAAACAGTCGTTTAATTTAGTCTTCTGAGCGCATAGTCCAGCATTCACAGGCGCAAAGAAGGGCATACCGAACGGATGCAGGGTACACGCGAACCCTCGTAGCAATATAAATATCGCGTAGGGTCCATAGGCATTTTCGAAGGGTTGAGAAAACTCTACCAACTACATCGATTCGGGAGATAATGTGCTCCTTATCCTGTTAATTCGGTGGTAACCTCGCTCTGAATTGTTTTAAACTGTCTATTTCTTCAAGTTGACAGCCACTAATCTCAAGAAGTGCCTTCTCTTGGACAGGGATGCAGCATGAAGACACATCAGTCTCCCCAGCGCTTATAGATAAACCGACCGATTTGGCGACCTCGTTCACCCGTAACACCATAGGCTGTAGACTACCAAAGTTTAAACCCAGTAAATCGGAAAAATAGAGGGCAAGACTGTCTTTACAGGACCTTTTTGCCTTTGATTTACAACAATAACATACTTTTACCTTTTCAGTAACCCGACTTCCCCTTTTATTTCGTTAATTTCCACCAATATAATGTAGAATTTCCCTCATTTGTACTCACGCCAGTGCTCGACCTTGGCCGAGTTGTCAGCCGTAAAGCCGACATTCACATCGCGAACTGAGTCACTCAGTGAACAGAGCTTACCTGTAACTTTGCGGATAAGTTCCTAGAGTTTTCGAGTATCACTAACGTCGAAGGCCTGCTCCATGGAGGTCGCTATTTCAGCTTAGTATTTCTTCCGGTCTTCTCCAGCCGATTTTGCTGTCATCTTTCTGAGTTGGCGGAAAGAATAATCACTACAGCAGCTGGCTCGAGCTGTCTAAGTAGACAACTGCAGGGTTATTACGCTGATCCAGTCACTGCAGCGTCGTTGGGTGTATCCAAAAATGTTCGCAGCTGCCCTATAAGTTGATGTTTTCAGTGATGACCATTGGCTACTGTCTTCTCATTCTGCTCGAGTCGTAAAACAAGACCGGCTTTTCAGGACGTAGACAGCATTGGGGGGCCGAGTTTTGGCGACGTCAAAGCGTCTAGCACGTGGCATTTTGGGCAGGGATGGGAGGCGAGCTTTCAAGCGTGTACGAAAGAGGACATGGTCAGACCCATGGGCATAACCAGTCTCGACACCACGCAGCGATATGCTATCGTGGACCCAGCTGTGGAACCTTGAATCGGCTAACATTTAGTCAGTCTGACCAGTCGTGTGACTGTCGTTTGCGTATGAGGTTAGCTGATGTTTGTTGCGGTGTTGAAAGTATGTATTCGTAACAAAAATTCCATTCCGATCAGCAAAGTAAAGCAATATTTCCCCATTCTCACATCGAGAACCAAATCCTAAGCGGCCAATAAGATTACTGTTTGGCGAGTCACTGAGCCCATCCCGCCCATTCCAGTCCGTGGCAACAATCAGCAGGTCGCGGCGGGGGAACCTTTCAACTAATGCTTGTAGCTGCGAGTAAAACATCTTTAATGACGGTTCACGGTCGCCGTATCACCGTGCCGTCATCAGGCCTTGCGACATTTTATAAGCTTTTGGCGTGCCAGAGCTCAGCCCGTCGCGCCCTGGTAGCACTGACGCTGCTGTTCACCGACAGCCTGCTCCCCATGTAGCAGAACTCGTCTTCTCTCTATGGCACACTACCAGTGATTTTTAGACTAGTAAATTATTCGCTTGTATTCCAGAATACCTACTTCAACCTCAACTTCTTAACCGCAACTGGTCCATATTCTTGAGCAATATCGATTTTAGTGCACACTCAAACCTTAGGGTATGCTTTTCATTGAGTACCAAACCAAGTTTCCATCCGAACGTCTGCTATCCTTTTTGCAAAAACCCCCGTCTCCTATTATTCAGACTCAATGGCCTCCGAATCGGCGACCACACTCTGTCTGCGCGTTTGGCCAAACCCTCAAAGGAGGAGACCCTCTTAGCTCAATCCTCGCTGGCCGAAGCTCGACGGCAAAAAATAGAGGATGAGACAAAGAAAAGAGAGGAAGAACTCGCCCGCATTTTGATGAACACATGTCAGTCATCGACAAACACTACCTACATCACCAAGTAAGTAGAAACACACGCTCTTTATGTAGTTTCATGCTTTATATTATCTACTCGAGGATATTTGGGCGTCTAATATGGGTGCCGGAATTATTTTCTGAAGACTATTACATGATGTTCGAATTCATCCTCTGACAGTTTAAAAGTACACAGAGGCCCTAACCATTCGCCCCATTTTCTTCTTTCTGTAACTGCTTTTGGCATAGAAAGATTGATGTACCTCTGACCGCCCCCCTGACGCAGGTTTCACAACCCAAGTCGGTGACTGTTACGCCAACTGTAATTCCCGATTTGTACGGCAAGTTGGGTCAGGTTAGCTCAAAGCCGCTTAAATCTGGATCTCCGTCCGTCTTTGGTGAGTCGTCAACTTCTTACTTTGCATAATTTCCTGCTCTGTTTACTGCGAACACTTGCATGGCGCGTGTATTATTTTTAAGACATACGTTGGTTGGTTGGTAGCCCATGTTGGATCAGGGGTTCCCGCCGGAGTCCA